GATTTCCATGTTTTGTACAGTGAGATGTCTGAGTTCCCTGCAGACGGCCCTTCTCTCATAATGTTATTTCTCCCCTGCGTCGGTACTACAGACAGCTCTTTAGAGGAGCAATACCTGCATGTCGTTCCGCTCTGCTCCGTTGCACTTTTAGCAGCAAGCGCAATCACTAAGCCAGCCTGTTAACACACATTCCCCATTGCCTCTCAAGTGTTGTTGTAGAAAAAACATGGGTGTACACTACAGATTTCACTCTCTGGCTCAGAGCAGACAGCTATCTTTAAGTGCTCGATTTGTTTTCTTTCCATGAAATCCCTTTCTTCCATCTCAGAGAATGAGCAGAGACCAGTGGAAAAAGTCAAGCTTGCATCTTGTATTGTGATAAGAGCCGAATATCAACAAAGCACTTTTCACTTCCACCTAAATTCAGAAATTACTCTCCCTGTCCACATTTAAGGTGATGATGACTTGAGTTTTCACTTTAAGTGAAAATTGAGTGTTTACTATTGTCATTTTGCATTATTGACACACTCTTTTCCTAATTAATGCTGTACAGTTGCTTTGACACAATCTGTATTGTTAAAAGCGCTATATAAATAAAGGTGACTTGACTTAAAGGAATAGTTCACCCAAAAATGAAAACTCACCCTCAGGCCATCCACTGAATTAAAATGGGGTAAAATAAAAGCCAGCAGACTTTGTGCAGCAATTTAGTTACATAAACATGCCATACCCTGCACGCCAGAGTGTTTGCATGAAACACAGGCTATAAAAAGAGCATACGACATCTGCTTCAACTGCTTTTCTGACTTTCATTAGGAGGCCATCAAATAAAGTGTAACTGTTTGACTCGACGCAAGGCATATTGATCTAAACAACTGGGAAACAGATCGGGAAACCGTCAGCACCATGGCAACACTGTGACATGCCACAAGACAATGTTAGTAAATCAGTGCTGTCTGTGGGCTGAACTTTATTCAATTAGACTTCCTAGCTTGTAATATTTCATTTTAATCATTATTTATGGAGGAAGCCTTACTGTGATTGTTTTTCATGCCAGATATATTTTGACAAATGGCATATTCACATTGACTTGCAAAGCAATGTTTAAGCATTTCTGCCTCGGCTAAATTTAAGGAAGTAATATTTAAGCAATAAGATACTGTATGGCTTTGAATGCCTTGTGACTTTAATAAAAATGGTTTCTACATATTAAAAATATCAATGACACAAATTTTCATGAAAACATTTTATTCGGCAAATTCATTAGGTCTATCTTTATAGTAGATACAGTTTCAGACAAAATAGACTGCTGCATTTCAACAAAAATATCAATCTGCTATAGGAGCAACACAGTAATATGGCGAACAGCTGTTTCACATCATAACTGTTACTATATCATGAATTGTTATTTGTATTGACCAATCAGCATCCAAGCTAAGAACTAACCATTTTATAATATTCCATATTGAGCAATCAGTATCCAGAAACATAAGTATCCATTTTTTATGTATCCAATATTAACCAATCAGCATCCAAGATCAGAACTGTCTGTTTTAAAATATGTTGTATTGACCAGTAAGCATCCAGGACTAGAACTATGCATTTTATAATAAATTTGATTGACAAGTCAGCATCCAGGACAAGAATCATCTGTTTTATAATATTCATATTGACCAATCAGCATCCAAGACAAGAACTATCCATTCGATAATACACTGTATTGACCAATCAGCATCCATGACTAGCCGTTATAATACTCTGTATAGACCGCATTTAGCACCGAAACTATCTTTTTTATGATATATCATATGAACCAATCAGCATCCAGGACCAGAACTATCTATTTAATTATATTCCTGAGTGATTATTTTACAACAGCTTTATGTTTTAGAATATATTGAACTGACCAATCAGCACCCAGTATCAGAACTATCCATTTTATAAAATAAATGAGAACACTTGCCAAAGTAAACAGGGTATTTTTAAAGTGATAATTTGCTAGTTCTCATATTTTCCTGCACATTTGTATTATTTGCATGAATGAATAAACACTTTAATGGGTTTGTGGCCGCAGAGCCTTGAATATGAGCGGGCCGGTGGATTGGACTTGTTTTGGATGAAACTGTGGATTTCCATGTTTTGTACAGTGAGATGTCTGAGTTCCCTGCAGACGGCCCTTCTCTCATAATGTTATTTCTCCCCTGCGTCGGTACTACAGACAGCTCTTTAGAGGAGCAATACCTGCATGTCGTTCCGCTCTGCTCCGTTGCACTTTTAGCAGCAAGCGCAATCACTAAGCCAGCCTGTTAACACACATTCCCCATTGCCTCTCAAGTGTTGTTGTAGAAAAAACATGGGTGTACACTACAGATTTCACTCTCTGGCTCAGAGCAGACAGCTATCTTTAAGTGCTCGATTTGTTTTCTTTCCATGAAATCCCTTTCTTCCATCTCAGAGAATGAGCAGAGACCAGTGGAAAAAGTCAAGCTTGCATCTTGTATTGTGATAAGAGCCGAATATCAACAAAGCACTTTTCACTTCCACCTAAATTCAGAAATTACTCTCCCTGTCCACATTTAAGGTGATGATGACTTGAGTTTTCACTTTAAGTGAAAATTGAGTGTTTACTATTGTCATTTTGCATTATTGACACACTATTTTCCTAATTAATGCTGTACAGTTGCTTTGACACAATCTGTATTGTTAAAAGCGCTATATAAATAAAGGTGACTTGACTTAAAGGAATAGTTCACCCAACAATGAAAACTCACCCTCAGGCCATCCACTGAATTAAAATGGGGTAAAATAAAAGCCAGCAGACTTTGTGCAGCAATTTAGTTACATAAACATGCCATACCCTGCACGCCAGAGTGTTTGCATGAAACACACAGGCTATAAAAAGAGCATACGACATCTTCTTCAACTGCTTTTCTGACTTTCATTAGGAGGCCATCAAATAAAGTGTAACTGTTTGACTCGACGCAAGGCATATTGATCTAAACAACTGGGAAACAGATCGGGAAACCGTCAGCACCATGGCAACACTGTGACATGCCACAAGACAATGTTAGTAAATCAGTGCTGTCTGTGGGCTGAACTTTATTCAATTAGACTTCCTAGCTTGTAATATTTCATTTTAATCATTATTTATGGAGGAAGCCTTACTGTGATTGTTTTTCATGCCAGATATATTTTGACAAATGGCATATTCACATTGACTTGCAAAGCAATGTTTAAGCATTTCTGCCTCGGCTAAATTTAAGGAAGTAATATTTAAGCAATAAGATACTGTATGGCTTTGAATGCCTTGTGACTTTAATAAAAATGGTTTCTACATATTAAAAATATCAATGACACAAATTTTCATGAAAACATTTTATTCGGCAAATTCATTAGGTCTATCTTTATAGTAGATACAGTTTCAGACAAAATAGACTGCTGCATTTCAACAAAAATATCAATCTGCTATAGGAGCAACACAGTAATATGGCGAACAGCTGTTTCACATCATAACTGTTACTATATCGTGAATTGTTATTTGTATTGACCAATCAGAAGCCAGGACCAGAAATAGACATTTTATAATATGTTGTATTGACCAATCAGCATCCAAGCTAAGAACTAACCATTTTATAATATTCCATATTGAGCAATCAGTATCCAGAAACATAAGTATCCATTTTTTATGTATCCAATATTAACCAATCAGCATCCAAGATCAGAACTGTCTGTTTTAAAATATGTTGTATTGACCAGTAAGCATCCAGGACTAGAACTATGCATTTTATAATAAATTTGATTGACAAGTCAGCATCCAGGACAAGAATCATCTGTTTTATAATATTCATATTGACCAATCAGCATCCAAGACAAGAACTATCCATTCGATAATACACTGTATTGACCAATCAGCATCCATGACTAGCCGTTATAAAACTCTGTATAGACCGCATTTAGCACCGAAACTATCTTTTTTATTATATATCATATGAACCAATCAGCATCCAGGACCAGAACTATCTATTTAATTATATTCCTGAGTGATTATTTTACAACAGCTTTATGTTTTAGAATATATTGAACTGACCAATCAGCACCCAGTATCAGAACTATCCATTTTATAAAATAAATGAGAACACTTGCCAAAGTAAACAGGGTAGATATATCATATGAACCAATCAGCATCCAGGACCAGAACTATCTATTTAATTATATTCCTGAGTGATTATTTTACAACAGCTTTATGTTTTAGAATATATTGAACTGACCAATCAGCACCCAGTATCAGAACTATCCATTTTATAAAATAAATGAGAACACTTGCCAAAGTAAACAGGGTATTTTTAAAGTGATAATTTGCTAGTTCTCATATTTTCCTGCACATTTGTATTATTTGCATGAAATAACAGCATGAGTGAGGTGAAAAGAGAGAAGCGAGACAGATAGAGTTGTGTGTGTGAGAGAGTGTGTGTGCTTGCTGTGTGTGTTAGTCAGTCACTTAGCCTGTGGTAATTACTATCTCACCATGTTAAATGATCACTATATATGCAAGTGCTACTGCAGCCCACCGGACACGCCAAAAATGGGCTTCTGTAACGACTTCCCCTGTTCTCAGTAGGAGTCGAATCAAGCAGGCGAATATATTTACTGATGAATAGCCATAGGACCTCACAGCTGCTTCTCTGGGGTAAAGAAGATGCATCTGCTACTATTGGATTGTCACAGCGGAGAGTGTTTTCCAGAACGAGCTAAACTGAGCTTTGAGTGACGTGGATTCGACCTGTTGTGCGTGAGCTCTGATGGTAAGGAACAGATTTACTTACGCAGGTTGTTTCCTGTTGCTCTGGCCTGCATGTTCTCGTAGTGTTGTCCATGCACCGCCAAGCTCTCCTCTCTCTCCACATGTTCTCCTGGAGCTGTCTGGCGCATCACCTGGGCCAGCGCTCTATGGAGAAAGGCTTTATTTACTCATCTTACAAAAAAACTGTTAATTCATGTAGAGCAATTCAATACATATTTATACTGTTCATGACTGACATTTCCTCATCAAAATGGCCTTAAGGTTTGTTCAGTAGATTATAGATAAATGTTGACAATTAAACCAATGCGTTATATCAGACCAAAATGAAAGTCTGATAAAACATCTTGATGAGTAGTTTTCTTTCCTCTGTTGACATATTTTGTATTGAAACAGGAAAATAGTATCATTACTATTATTATTGAGGGACATTCTCATTCTTGAAAGCATTTAACAGGATTCAATTTTAGACACGCCCATTAGTGCAAGACGAAGATGAGTCATGAATATTTTTGTCTGATTTCTTATATAATCAAATCTGTACATTTTGAAAACCCTGTGCTGTGCATAATTTGGAGTTCCAGGTAAAAATAAAAATTGATTTTTAAAAATTGCTTGTACATTTAATCACTATTTTATATATAACCAAATCATGGATTCAGCCTTTTTTATTAGATCTGATAGACCACATTGATCTGAGCTCATGAACCTCAGTTTTTGAGTGAAAATTGCCAAAATTATCCACAAATTATGTTTCATTTGTGCATTATTTGTGGATAATTTTGGAAATGTTCACTCAAAATCTAAGAAGCGTAAGCTCAGATCAATGAGGTCTATAATCAACCATTTTAAAAAAGAAATACAAAAACTGTGCTAATTGAAAGTTGATAAAAAAGTTTGAAACCAAGATTTGGTAATAATATAGAATTTTTTTTTTTTACAGATTTTGTAGGCCATTCATTCAACTAGCATTTTCAGAGAAAAACAAATCCTCTCTAGGTCAAAAAGACTGAAACACAACATGAGGGTTAAATTGTGTATATCTGCTAAAAATTGTATTTGTTAGTATTTAAGAGTGTACTGTCAAATGTTTGACCTAATATTTCTATTAGGACATTGTCTAGACATCTAGACATTTTAGACATTGTCTAAAAGCTACAAAAACTTTATTTGGGTTTCACAACCCAACCTTGTGTACATAAAACTGAGAGATAGATTCATTCACACCAAAACTTTAAAAGACCTTTTTGTAGAGCTACATTAAACTATCATGAAAATGGTGCAAGTCAGCATGGTGCAATATTCAAAAGGCACTTGATTAAAAGGGTGTAAATGGCTGGTTGTGGGTGGTGGGTGGGACACTATGGCCCATATGAGTTTTGAGTATGTGTATGGGTTAGTCTAAATAGAGTGAAAGGTCAGTGCACAAACAGAATGTCCTTGAAATATTAGCGTCAATAGGCACAGATCAGTGTCCGTTATCCTACTAATGTCATGGACACCTCTCTACTGATGTTTAGATGAGTGAGTGTACGAGAGTGTTCGCTTCTTTGGAGTAGAAGCTTTTACAGACAAAATCTGTGCCTCACCATGGAGATAATTAGAGACTTACGGAGATGTTGATGAATGTTTAAAACACTGCTGATCAACAGATGATTTAGACCTGAATGCTAGTCAGTATCTTTTGTAGTCTTTTATCTGCTTTCAGCTCTCTCTGATTATCTGCACTTTATCTTGAGTCTTCAGGGGAAAACATGTCTAGTCTTTAGTCTTTAGTTATTAAAAGAAAGAAAACCCTTTTTCTTGATTTGAAGGAAGGTTACTTTGCACCACTTAAGTAGGCCCACTAAACCTTGAACCTCAAATAAATACCTGTCTGTTAAACTAAAGGAGCATTTTCTGGACTTCTGTACATGTCAGTGTTGTCAACTGCCTGAGTGATAAATAGATAGACAGGAAAATGAAGCCAGTAGAAGTTAGGAAAAACTAGCACAACGTCATGGTGATAGAGTTGTGTCAGTGTAATCCTTGAAAGACTTGAGCTACGCTGAATGACATCTCAGAGGAAAACTGTCAAGTTTAGATGTTGCTCATTGATAGCTTAGAAGACATAAGCATTCTCAGTTCTATTTCATAGTGATATCAATGTAAATAAACAAAACAAACAAATCTTATTAGGCCAGAATAAAATAGATACAAATGAGGTCATTGTTGACCTATATTGAGATTGTTGAGCTATAAAATCAGCAAACAGCATATCTCTGATATCTCAGGAAGGCTGTATTGACAAATAGTTGAGGCCATAATGAAGCATTTGATTGCAGACTTTTGATATCTTGCAAATTGCAGAACTGTTTGTGACATTGTAAGATCTTTTCTGAAACTCTGTAGTAGAAACAAGCAAGCGACTTACAGTAAGTAAACATCTCCATTTGCTCTTTGTTAAATTGCATTGTTGTCTACAAATTATTGAGATATTAAGGAGATCTCATTTGTATTTTTTTTATTCTCCCTGGAATAAACTGCTCATCTCATACAACAATTTACAACAACTTCTTGAAAGGATAAATAAAAATAGACACAAATACATATAGAGGTGTAAAATTACATGGATAGCCTAGGCAAATTGGTTTTGGAAAAAATCGATTTTTTTTTTAATCCCACTTTCTTTCATTCCCATTGGATAAAATCAGCTCCACAACAATAACGCAGACAGTTTACAATATCGTTTGAACTTCAACTTGTAAACACAAGTCACTTACCTCGACATGTTCTCTCTGTGAGGTCGATGCGCCTTCTCCAAGCCAAGTTTGGTGAATATCCCAACCAGCGCCATGATAGCAACTACTCCGCATATGATATACACAATCAAATTGGTTTTATCCTTAGTCGGATCGTGTTGATCCATCATCTTCGGCGGTGGTCTGCCCGTCATGGACCACGGCGGGGTGTCGTAGTTTTTGCAGGTGGTCTGATCTAATCTGGAGTTTTTAAACTCGCAGCAGAACCTGAAGCCACAGGTCCCGCAACAGTACAGGTAGCTACCAGTCCGGCACACGAACGGAGGATCCCACTGACCCATCACATCATAATAGCCCCGACACCTGTCCTCCGTGTGAGGGGTCTCAGAGAGACCGTTCTGCCCGTCTCTGGAGTCGTTGGACCCCGACGCCGTCACCAAAACATCCAGGTTTTCCCCAGGTTCTCCTTCCGCGTCGCACACAAGAACTTTCATCAAAAAGTAACCTAGTAGTAAGCCAGTGCTTTTCATCCTGCGCTCTTCTCTCCTCTTCTTTGCCACGGCTGATCGGACGCTGAAAAACAGTGTTGGGTATCTTTTGTCATGAAGTGTCAGCACGCATATCTCCATCAAGAACATCACCGCCATCCGAGATGATGCTCATGTTTGAAGATACTTGAGCGCCACGGTTGGTTTATGCAGGCTTTGAAGTATGCAAATGTTTGAATATATATGTAGATTTCTATCGTTCCAAGTGTGGCATTGCAATAAACACTACTGTGTTTTGTCTACTATTTTAGCCTATCCTAAACACCAGCGGTCTTGCGCACTCGGGTGCGTGGAGCGTCTGGAGCGCAATGAGCTGCGCTTGAACAGAGCGCTGAGTGAGACTGAATGCGTAGTGATGAGAGAGGAGGAGGGGAGAGACCCAAGTATGGGCACATGGAAGTAACAAAAGGATTTGGAGAAGGAGAGAGAGAGAGCGGAATGTGTGTCCATCAATATCAAGTCCTGTAATTCTCACATAAAGAACATGTTGCACGTAAAATGTATGCGCAACTCATATACCGCGGCTAATGCAGCAGCATGCGAATTATACAATGTCTTGAACGGAATCAACTATTAAAATATAATAAAATAAAATAACAAAATAAAATCAATTTACTTTTTAACGCTGAAGCAATTCGTTGGACCGCGTGCAAGTGAACTGAAATAAAGCTGTTGTTAGGGTTACATCTTGTTATAAAAAAAAATTAATAAATAAAACTTAATAAGTATTAATAACTTACTTTTATCTATGCTGAAATGTCTGGAACTTACATAGACTTTTATTTGTTTAAAAATATATGTAGGTTACTTTTACTATTTGTTTCGGGTTTCTTGAGAGGGTTCAATGATTCGATTTAATTCAACAATATTTTAAATACGGAGTGATGTTCAATGAGCGTTCACACTGTGTTTGGCAGGGACAAAGCCACATGATAGTATTTATTTTCGAGGACATTTGGTGAATCAGCGACATGAGTGACCGACACCATGGAGATGAAAGTTGAGCAGATTCAACTTTATGCAAATGAGCAGATACATCATAAGGTGAAAGCATGTGTCCTGGTGAATTTATTTTCAACTAATCATCACTGTGCATGCCAGTTCTGAGTTTGAAGTTTTGATGGTGGTTGCATTTTAACAACATGAATGTAAAAAATAAACATGTTACATACTTGGACAATGAAATTGTGATTAATCGAACTGGATCAAAATATATAAGAAATATATTAAACTGGATTAAAATTGCATCAGCACAGCCTTAATATAGTATGGTCCGTTATTCATTCAGCTCAAAGTTACACTTTTGTCACATTGCACATGGTGTGTATAATCATGTATTTAGAGATGATAGCATATTTAATATGATATGATATTCAAACACTTGCCAATATACCTTCTCCCACCTCAGCCTCATACGGAGTGATGTTCAATGAGCGTTCACACTGTGTTTGGCAGGGACAAAGCCACATGATAGTATTTATTTTCGAGGACATTTGGTGAATCAGCGACATGAGTGACCGACACCATGGAGATGAAAGTTGAGCAGATTCAACTTTATGCAAATGAGCAGATACATCATAAGGTGAAAGCATGTGTCCTGGTGAATTTATTTTCAACTAATCATCACTGTGCATGCCAGTTCTGAGTTTGAAGTTTTGATGGTGGTTGCATTTTAACAACATGAATGTAAAAAATAAACATGTTACATACTTGGACAATGAAATTGTGATTAATCGAACTGGATCAAAATATATAAGAAATATATTAAACTGGATTAAAATTGCATCAGCACAGCCTTAATATAGTATGGTCCGTTATTCATTCAGCTCAAAGTTACATTTTGTCACATTGCACATGGTGTGTATAATCATGTATTTAGAGATGATAGCATATTTAATATGATATGATATTCAAACACTTGCCAATATACCTTCTCCCACCTCAGCCTAATTTTTTACCCCAAAATGGTGGATTAGATTAAATAAGTTTATTAAGGGTATTCTTTTCCTGCACACTGTAATGCATCATAGAGAGAGCCAGTTCTATTTTCCCTAAAAATGGCTTGTGTGTTTGTCCATTTGTCATACAATGTTGTCTGTAGGCATTTAGTGAGTAATTCTTGGAATTGTGAGCAAATGTATAATGTAGTTTGGTAGCTCTACCGAAGCTCTGCTACCTCACTAAATCAAATGTATAGTCAAAAGTCAATTTAGTTGCCAGTTACACAGTTGATAACACAATTAAAATTCAAACCCCAGATAGGCTTACATATCTTGAGAGAGATCATATAAATCAAGTTTATTGTGTTACATTCTGGATTAATCCCTTGTTTTGCATGGTCTGTATTTACAAAATTATACCGGTCCTTATGGGCATTTGGCACGGCAAACAAGACCCCCGCTCAGAATAAGCTAATTATATACTGATGCAGATGAATGAGCAATCTGCATTGTTTGTCTTTGAGAGGACAAATAGACCTGCCTAAGGTGCAGAAATTGTAACCTATGAAAGGAAAAAGAAGCAGTAATGCAACTAAAAACAAAACAGACTTTTGGAATATTCATGTTCTGAGCAAATTCATAAAATGTCATGAAAACTGCAGAACTGAATGAGGATTATCAGAATGCACGAGTCAATGAGGCCATCCGTAAAGTACTTGAGAGACACTAAGGGATCACTTGGTCTTGTTATTACCATGGTAACCAGGTACATAATGGCCTAATTTCATTTTCCAGGTCCTATTGACTTAGTAGAGTGATTTTCAAAACGTACAGAAAGCCATGGAAAAGTGCCATCTTTCTATTTTTTCTAACCTTTTTTTTTCTTCAACAGCCTGATGCTTAAAGTCGTATAAAGGACAGCTGAAGCTGAATGACGGTTTGTGCAAGAGATGCACCCCATTGTTTAAAGCTCAATACATAGTGAATTATCCCATTTGTTTCTGTTGTGCATCTCAGGAGGTTCTTTCTTTGTGGAGACTGGAGAGCATATATGTCTTTCAGAAACTAAAATAGATTTTAGTTTCTGTCAGCTCTATTTTATTTTAATGACTAAATAATGGCCTTTTTCATCTTGAGATCTTGAAAGTCTTAGAATGCTTTCAATATATGGAATTCAAATTTTAAACCTGGAGATAACCAACATATTCGATTTAAAACAACAATTATGATGTAGATGTACAGCAAATGAATGATAAATATTTAATGTTCTGCACTATGAACTATTCTTATTTGAAGAACTATCCTTTAGTATCCCTATATGATTAAGGGAATTTGGCCTTTGTTTTCCCTCCTATTTATATTTCTGTGAAACAGGAAGCCATGGCTGCATATTTTCATGTTCATAATCACCCTGGTGTGCTCAAAATTGTGAATATGAATGGAAATATATTTCAGATATATTTTACTCATGAGAATTTCTAGGGGTACCAATAATTGTGTCCAATGTGTATTTGACAAAAACATTTATTTCATAATGATATTTCCCCCCATTTTAAATTCTTATTCTCCAATGAAAGGTTAGATTTTTGTGATTTAAAAAAAATAAAAGATCAAAAGGATTAACAATGCAGATTTATTTTAACAGCCTTCTTTGATCATATTTGTACCAACAATTCTAACCACGTGTGTACATTATTGTGATGTTTTTATCAGATGTTTGGACTCTCATTCTGTTGGCACCCATTCACTGCAGAGGATCCATTGGTGAGCAAGTGATGTAATGCTAAATTTCTCAGAATCTGTTCCAATAAAAAAACAACTCATTTACATCTTGGATGGCCTGATGGTGGGTAAATTTTCAGCAAATTTTCAGTTTTGGGTGAACTATTCCTTTTAGCTATGACATATTAGTGACTTTCGTAAAGATAGTTCTTCTTCCATGGAAGCACAAGATGCTGTATGGATCATATTTACAATACAATTACTAATGACAAATGTTGTATTACAGGAAAAAAATATAAAAAGACGTCTCTGACTTTTGGACTCCACTGTATGTCATTCTCCACAACTCCAACCAGCTTAGTCATTTGCATCCTCAGCTATTGTTTATTTTTTAACTCCTCTGTTATCAACATCACAATGAGGGGCCTTGATCATGCATAAGCTTACACAAAGTTTGTCATAGATCATTTATTTTTGGAGCTGGTGTTAATCTGGAATTTTAACAGTGTTTTGAAAGCACCATCTGCCACCTGAGAAATCTAGCTCATTTGCGTTTGATGTTAGTCCGAGCCACAGAAAGCTTCTTTATTCACAATTGGCTGTCAAGGGAATCGTGGCTCTTTTCTGTTTGTATCTTTAAAGACTGCTGTAAATAGTTCAGCCGTTCCTCTGGGATTTTACTAAAGTTTGTTTAGAGAGACAAAACTCTGCACGAGCGTCTCAGAGAGCACAGCTGGCAGCTCCTGATCAGACCATCGCATTGAAAAAGCTCTCACTTTGACATAGGAAGAATAGCAATTGGTGAGCAATGAAACATCACGCTCAATTTAACATGTCAATACTTTGTTTCTTGGCCAGACTGTTTTAGAGGCGGCTGTATATCATGAATGAATAGTCACCATAGGATTTATGGATTCTGGCTTCAGTAGAATAGAGCTGTACAGTCTGGAGAAAAGGTCACCTGACAGATAAAACCAAATCTTAAACAAGTTTTGAATCACTGTTCTCTTGTGTGTTCGCAAAATTGGAACAGCCTTTAATCATTCCGTTTAACCTTCCGGACCTCTTGTATCTTTTCTGCCTAGTTAAATTCATTATAAAAGTTTGTGCAAGTGTCAGGAAAAGGGAATTTATTCTATTCTGTGATTGTTAAAAAGCTGTAGATGTACAGCAGTTTGTAAGAAACCTACATTTGAATGAAAATACAGCCATGTAGTGCCAAAAATAAATAAATTGGGATATAATATAAAGAATAATTGGAAAAAAGACGTCAATTAGATTTAAAATTTTTAATGTAAATATTGTAATATTTAATGTAAATAAACCAATATTCTGTTTTCACACGTCATAGTTGGATGAACTGTCACAAAACATTTTCACATGTTCACATTTTTCTGTAACGACTGTATACTATATGCAAATCAAAATATTACAGAAAATGCTAATTAGATTAAATTTGCCATTTGTTGGAACTAAGTTTGTATTTTTCCTTTTCCCCAAATATTTATTTTAAAATAAA